TCCTAGCACCTCCAGCTCCAGTGCCTCCAACACTAGTACCTCCAACTCCAACGCCTCCAACACCAGTACCTCCAGCTCTAGCGCCTTTTGTATCAGCAACGCCAGCACCAGCGCCTCCAGCACCAGCACCACCAGCACAAGGACCTACAGCTCTAGCGCCTCCAATGCTAGTACCTCCTGTCCTAGTGCCTCTAGCACCTCCAGCACTTCTAGCTCCGCTACCAGAGTGGAACCGTTGAATAACCCACTCGCGAAGATGCTCTGGCGAGAGAGCCTCCTGCCGACGAGACTGTTGCTGCTGTCAATCCCCAGAACCTCTAGCAGGAGCACCAATGACTCCACCACCACTAGGACCCTCAGCACCCCCAAAAACAACACCCCAGACTCAGCACCCCCAGACTCAGCACCCCAAGAACCAACACCTCCAGGGCCACCACTCACAAAGTTCGCACCTCCAGTGTCACCACCCCCACCAACACCGGAGTCTACAGCAACAGGCTGCAGAGGCGGTGAAGACCAGGAGGGGTCTCCAGGCGCAGTGAGCAGCGAGTGGTTGTTGTGTCGTCTGCAGTAGCGTCATCCTCCTCAACTGGGGCAGAGGAGTCAGAGGTGACCTTTCAACCAAGTGGGGTGGGTCTACCTGAGACACACCTGAGGGAGCAGGACCCTGAGGGGGGAGGGGGTCTACCGGGGGGGACCTAGAACCAGGAAGAAGGGGGGGAGGGGGGGGGGGGGACGGGGGTAGTGCGTTGGTGGTAGAGACAGTAGAAACTAACCGACTCATCAAAGTTGACGTCCTAGGAGGACAGGACAGGACACGAGGTTGGGTGGTAAAACTGCCGGCCAGGCGCGTCGGTGGGAAAGTCAAGGAAGACGCAGCGAATGGTGCGAAAAGAGAGCTTGTCCGCGATGGTATCACGGACAAGGACCATCGAACCCCAGATCCAAAACGCCGATGCATCTCTAATCTTCCCCATCCAACGTAGTGTAGGCGAGGTCTCTGGCACGAAGACAAGGGGCCAGAGGTTGAGCTGATGCACGTCGTATCGGACCATAAACGGCCACAGGAAATGGGGAGAAGTCGCATGGATCATGGAGGAGCGAGTGACCTCCATGATCAAGCTGATGCGGCGCTCAGCAACCCCATTCTGCTGCGGAGAGGCTGGAAGCATGAACGGTTGGACGATGCCCTCCTCACGACAAAAAGCCTCAAAGAGGCAAGAGGAAAATTCACCACCTCTGTCAGAGTGCAGACGAAGGACCGGGAGGTCCTGCTGGAACCGGACACGCGGCTGGCGATGGGCTGCATGGATCCAAAGGGATTAAGATAATGGGAACATCCGCCTTGCTTTGCAAAGGGAAGACCGTGGTGTAGCGCGAGTAGTCGTCAACAACGAGCGGAAAGTAGCGCTCTCGGTCCGGTCCACTAACGTGGGCAGGGCTCCACACGTCCATATGGAGAGTCTATAGAGGAGCAGTGGCCGGAGGAAACAAGGAGGAGTGAGGAGCGGCGCGCTGCTACTTCTCGACGCAAGGAAGGCACGGCAGTGCAAGCGAGCGCAAAAGCGGGGGCAGGGACCTGGGGAGGCTAGAGACAAGGAGATAGTAGTGCATACTACGCAAATGCGTCAAGGAGGGGTGACCAAGACAGTGGTGCCAAAGGAGAGTCTGGTGTGTGAGAACTCGACACGAGCAAAACGCAGCAAACTGACCCGACGCAGCTACTTGTGCAGACTCAGTGGTCAATGTGTACAGGCCAGACTCGGGTCTCGAAGTGAACGTGACGAGGTGGGCGCTAATTCGTGAGTTCGTCCAGATCGCCACTACCCCCAGGAGTAGTAAACAAGGAAAGGTGGAGACCTGCAAGTGAGCCAAAAGGGGCTGCCAGAGACGAGAGAACGGTGGAGGCATATGCTACTACTGGGCCCCCAGAGGGGTTAACCAGAGTGACTGGGACAGGTCTTGAAAGCGGTGTGAAGCAGTACCGCCTGCACTGGGGTGCAGTCGCGGAAGAAGCAGCGAGATGCACCTGAGTCAAGTGTGAAGGTGTGCAGAGCCTTTGCAGGGGCTGCACATGTGCTAGCAGGCTCAACGACACCTAGACTAGTAGCCTCTAAACTACCAGGGACGTGTCCGTGAGAAACCCACTCGCAAAGCTGCTACGGCGAGACAGTCTCCTGTCGACGAGCCTGTTGCTGCTGTCCAGCACCTCCAGCACCAGTACCCCAGCCAGAGCGGCCTCGCCGAAGAACCGACTCGCGAAGCTGCTGCGGCAAGAGAGTCTCCTGTCGACGAGCCTGGTGCTGCTCTCCAATACCTCCAGCACCAGTACCCCAACCAGAGCGGCCTCGCCAAATAACTCACTCACGAAGTTGCTGCGGTGAGAGAGTCTCCGGCTGATGCTGCTGCTGCTGCTGCTGCTGTTAACCCCCAGAATATCCACCTACACCAGCGACACCACTTGACAGGCAGGATCAATCAGCAGCAATGGCTCAAGGGCAGCGGTAGTAGGGGCTGTAGCGGCAGTAGCAGGGGAGAGCAGGGCAGTGCTGGACAGCGTTTGCAGGCACAGCAGCAGTGGTAGCGGCCAGCAGCAGCAGCGGTAGTGGCCAGCAGCAGTGGCGGCAGCAGCAGGCAGCAGCTGCGGCTTGGCAGGGTAGCGCTGGGCAGCGTGCAGGGCAGCTTGTAGGGCAGCGCTGGCGGAGGCCAGGCAGGGCAGGGCAGCGCTGAGCAGCGCGTGCAGGCAGGGCAGCAGTGGCAGCGCTAAGCAGCGCGTGCAGGCAGGGCAGCATGCAGACCCTACAGCCAACACAAACTACAGCATCAAGGGCGAGGGAGGACGAGACCTCCAGCTCGGCAGCATCCGCGCGCAATCTGGGAACCCGAGCACATAAGAGTGCTTTTAAGGCGGAGGCCGACGCTGAGAAGGAGAAGGCGCGACAGGCTACGCTCACACGCTGGCAAACTACTGACGCGGCAACGCGACACCTCATTCGGTGTCTTCATGTCGCAATGTTTGTTTCCAAGGCGGATGCCCCGATAGCCCTTTTTGTCCCATTATGTATGTTTCTTGCCACAGAGGGCGTCCCCGACATGAAAACTAGTGGCGGCTACGGCTCTTACAACACAGAGTACGTGATATGATATCCTACGTTTAGTGTGTCTACTGTGAAACATGTTGATGGCAAACTACTAGTTGTTAATCTGACCTTCCTGTTTATATGATGCATGGCAGTTACGACTTTAAGGAGTGCCTCCGTTCCATGTCAACCTATCTTCGAGAGGTGCAGCTGCAACACATCCGTGCGTCGCCTTGGATCGGCCTCAGCATAGATGAGAGTACGGATCGCATCCATGGCAAGCACCTCATCTTATTCGCCACCTTCTTCAAGGACACACAAGTGGTGAACGAATCCGTGACGCTGCTGAGCGTTGACCGGACTGATGCCACCTCGCTGACTGGAACTCTTCTGCAGTTTCTGGAAAGCATTGGCGTGGACCTGCACAAGGTGGTTGGCATTGCCACCGACGGCGCGTCAGTGATGACCGGGAAGGATAATGGAGTGGTGGCTCGCCTTCGACTGCAGATCGAGCACTTAGTCTCAACCCACTGCGTCGCCCATTGGTTCGTTTTGCACTTGTGTTTTGTCAGCGTTTGTTACCTCGACACCATCTTATACATTCTGTTTCGCTTCTCTTACACCCCCCGTTTCCAACAGTGAGGCGCTGTCGGCCAAAGACGCTGCTCTTGTTGTGCCGGATTTCAACATGGTGGACAAGGTGGTGAGAGGGCTTGATGATTTGCTTGGATGCAGCCACGTGCGAGATCAACGCTTCATGCACCAACAACAACTGTTCTGCAAGACAAACCTCGAGGCTCAAGGAATACACGCCATTCGTTGGCTGTCAAGAGGGGAGGCCGTGGAGCGGCTTTTGGAGGTGCTTCCAGCTGCAATAGTGATCCTTAAGCAGTATAACACCGATTTCTACGAGCTCGCGACATCCTTCAAATTCAACTTCCTCCTAAGATTCTTGGCAGACATCCTCTTGGAGCCGAATGCTCTTAACAAGAGGTTTCAGCAGCGTCAGGTAACTATTTTACTTTCTCCCAACCCTCTACCTTTGCCTCTGCTCTCTTCTAACAGCAATTGCTTTGCCCCATTCTTAGGTGGATGTCACACTTGTGGCCCATCTCGTCGAGCAGACGCACATGCGCATCACACAGCGTTACCTCACGAGTGAGAGTGACAAGAGCTTTGGCGAGGGCGACATGATGCAGCTGCCCGCGTTTTTGGCGGCCCATGAGTCAACCGAGAAGCGTGAGGTGCGCGCGGAGGGAGTTGATGCAGACGGCAATCCTTCCACTACCGTCTTCATCCTTCACGAACGTCCGCTGAAGGGCTACAACTCGGGCAGCGACATCACGACCTGCTACGAGCTGGCCATGAGCTACGCAAGGGAGGTGAACACCAGTTTGGGGCGGCGCATGAGGGACCTGAACGACCTTGAGGGTACAAAGTTGTTTTTGGACTCGTCTTATCTGAGCGATGACCAGCAGCGTGTGGCGGCATTCAAGAAGTGGTTGAAGCAGCTGCACCAGCTTTACAAAGGGAAGCTGCCAGGTAGGCGTGTATGCAACTGTGTTCAAGTTATCATGTTGTTGTGGTTGTGTAATTAAATCTTCTCAATGAACTTTTCCATTATCACCCCACCCTAAACCATGTTACAGGATTCAATTACAACAAAGCTGTCAGCGAGCTGTGGATGTTTACGGCAACGATGTATTCACAGCATCACAACGAGGACTTTCATCAAGCCCTCAGCAACACCCTACGAGACGACAACTGGCAGAACTCGTACCCGAACATCATGCGCCTGTGCGCCTGCCACTGCATGCCAATCACTGCCTGTGCATGCCAATCACTGCCTCTGCATGCCAATCACTGCCTCTGCTAGCCAATCACTGCCTCTGCATGCCACCAAGAATCTCTGCTAGCCAATCACTGCCTTTGCATGCCACCAAGAAACGCTGCTGGGTCGGGGCACGATCCTGTGAGCTCTGCACCCGAGAAGTCAAACCCGGGATTCTGCAATGTGTAGGGAGTGGGGAACAACACAGAGAGCACAAAATGAACCAGTGAAACTTAAAACCAAGCCATCCTGTCAGCTATGCACCAGAGAAGTCAAACCTTGGATTCTGAAATGAAGGGGGTGGGGAACAACACAGAGGGCACAAACTGAACCAGTGAAGCTTAAAGCCAAGTCATCCTGTCAACTCTGCACCAGAGAAGTCAAACCATGGATTCAGAAATGCGTGGGGAACAATGCGGGAGCAATGAAAACAGAGGGCGCACAAGGAAGAATGTAATGTAATCCAGAGCCCAGAGGAAATACGGAAAAGAGGTTTCTGCAGTGAGTGAGAAGTCAAACGCTGGAATTTGCAATGCGTGGGGAACAGTACAGGAGGAGCGATGCAAACAGAGGGCGCACAGGAAGGATGCGACAAATCATTGCAAATCAGAACAACACTTTGAACTCTGTGTCCCAAAAATAAAACCCGGACAGCAAGGGAAGTCAACGTGTGGGGTGCCAGCCGAAACAGAGGGACCACAAGGGAAATGTGAATTGTGAAGAAATCGAGGCTTTACAGGAGAACTGTGAAGTGTGAAGCAACAAAAACTTTACAGGAGAAGCCTGCCTACAGGTAATGATCAAGCCTCTCCGTAAGCTCTGCATCACAGAGATTGAACTCTGAATTCCGCAATACGCGGTTTCAGCATGAGCAGTTTCAACTCCCGACCCACAGAGAAGGTATCGAGACTGACCTCCTTGCTGCAGCCCTCTGCTGGCTGCCTCTATGACTATGCACCCACCCATTTCCATCAGAACTGCTCCCTCCCACCCACCTCTATCTGGAATCGCTCCAGCATGAGCCGTCGCGACTCCTGATCCGCAGAGAAGGCATCAAGAGTTTGCCCTTTGATTGCACCCATCCACCTCTTTTGAAAGCGATCTGGTGCCCTTGTCCCAAGCCATCTCCATCTGAAATGCTCCCACGCACCCACCTCTATCTGGAATCGCTCCAGCATGAGCCGTCTCGACTCCTGGTCCGCAGAGAAGGCATCCAGGCTGTGACCTTTAATGGCGCCGGGCCACGGCTTGCCTGAGGCATGAGCCGTCTCCAGCATGAGGCGACTTCTGTGCCCTCCAATACAGATAATCCCACAGTGTCCACTCTGTGCCTCCTGCTGCTGCCTACCAATGTGACGAGGTCCACCCACCTCTATTTGGAATCGTTCCAGCATGAGCCGTCTCGACTCCTGATCCGCAGAGAAAGCATCCAAAGTGTGCCCTTTAATGGCGCCCGGCCACGTCTTGCCTCGTTCGGCCTTTTGCAACGAAATGTGGAGCTCAGAGCCCTCTGTGGGATGTGAAAATGCAGGGAGGGGGAGGGGGGGGGGGGGGTTCAATTGGCATGCAACGCTTCTATCAGCCTTTTGCAACGAGATGTGGAACTCAGAGCCCTCTGTGGGACGTAAAGAGGTGGAGATGGGGAGAAGGCGTGCAAAGAGGTAGGGAAGAATAAGAGAAGCAAACACGTAGGGGAGAGGAAGAAAAGGCATCCAAAGACAAGAAGATGAGGAGAGTGCATCCAGAGTGTGCCCTTTGATTGCACGTGTTTGAAGAAGTGTTTTGAGACGTCTCAAAACACTTCTTCAAACACGACGTCTCAAAACACTTCTTCAAACACGACGTCTCAAAACACTTCTTCAAACACGAGAGCTTCCAGAGTGTGCCCTTTGATTGCACCCGACCACTTCTTGCCTCGCTCGGCCTTTTGCAATGAGATGTGGAGCTCGGCGCCCTCTGTGGGACGCGGAAATGCAGGGAGAAGTGCAAGTTGGCAGTCACTTTTGAGAATTCTCAATAATTGGTAGTAACGCAATGGCTTTGACGGCGAGGTGTGGAGCTCAGCGCCCTCTGTGGGACGTAAAGAGGTGAAGACAGGGAGGAATTGGCATTAAGACTGTGCCCTTTGATTGTACCTGGGGAGCTCGATGACCTGTGTGGAACAGATACGGTAAATTAAACCCTAAGGTACCCAGATGTGGAACGATAACGTAACTTATCACTTTGAGAAGAGCAGAATAGAGTGAGTGAAGCCAAGCGAACAGAAGGGTGAAGTGGAGAACAGAAACTGACACTACCTAACGGTCCAGAAGCTGTATTCCACCTTCAGAGGCCAGCTAGGTTGTGAAAATCCGGGGTCGATTTACATATAAAATGGAGAAGGGGAAGAGGAGCTGGCTCACCAATGGTCCAGAAGCTGTCGTCCACTTTCACAGCCCCGGCTAGGTCGTGCTGCCATGTGGGAGGGGGAGATGAGCAGAGAAAGCCACAAAATTCCCCTAAAAATCCGTGAATCAAATCACACATGCGAAACATGGCGCAATCACACAAAACCAACCTAATGTGGCCTTGTGGTAATCAACCATGCTAATATGGTTGTCCAACAGTAATACGCCAAATGCGCCACAATGGTAATCACAAGCACTCATGGTAAGTTACTAAATTACTATATCACTCACACCACACTCATAGACAGACCAACAAAAAAACGTCCAAGTAAGGCGGATTGCCCCTGATGCTGACTGCGATATGCCATCACACGCACCACATGATAACCTTTCCATGTGGCGTCATGGTCTGGGGTTCAAGGTTCAGGGTTTACCCTAAACCCCGAAAAAATGCAGTTTCACTTGCACAGATGTTAATCAACCACATCGTCACTCCACTAACGCCAATAGGTGGTTCAACAAACATACGTCCAAGTAAGGCGGGTTGCCCTTGATGCCGACCGTGATGTGCCGTTGCGCTATTTGGCACGTGAACAGTTTTGCGGGCACTCCTTCGGGCAGCGGAACGAAAATCTCTATCTCATCAACTGTCTGGTCCCACTCGTAGACGGCTTGGCCTGTGGGGTTTAAAATGGGAGGGAGAATCCAAACAGGAATGTGAGGAAGGCACACTAAAGCAACCCCTCTAATTTCACTAAGAGGAATAAGACGGGCCCTTGTTTTTCTCTCCACAATAAAGCAGCTTCTCTAGTTTGGTTCAACTTAGAGACGGTTTTGCCTGTGGGTTTAAGAATGGCGGGAGTGTCTGAAGAGAAACTAATCTAAAAAGGCGCCTCAAAAGCCACTCGGAGAAGGTTTGGCCTGTGGGGCTAGATTGTAGGGAGAATTCAAAAGAAATCTGAGGCAGTTCGGACAACCGCTTGCATGGAGCGATGCGATCCTTTGAGCCGTCGCTCTGCTGTTGCTGCATGCTTCATCTCCACACACCTCACTGTCTCTCACCGTTGTGAACGAACTTGAACCGCTTGTCGGGAGCGAGCCCGTCCAACTTAATTGCATCACCTGCTGCTGCTACTGCCTCTGCTGGCTCCTGCTGCTGAGGATGCCAATAATGAGGCTGGTACCGCTGATGCTGCTGGTAGTGCTCCCGCTAATGATAATGCCACTGCTGATGGCAAATGCTGCTTCTAATGCTGTTGCTCTATGCTTCATCTCACACACGTCATGTCTCACCGTTGTGAACGAACTTGAAGCGTTTGTCCGGAGCGAGCCTGTCCGACATGGCATCGACTGCTCCTGCTACCGCTGCTGCTGCTAATACCGCTGCTGGTGCTGATGTTGATGCTGGTGATGATGCTGGTAGTAATACCGCTGCCGGTGGTAAGGCTGCTGCAGTGATGCTGTTGCTAAGCCAACAAAATGTCACTGTTAGCAATAATCATCCTCGCTATGATAGCGCGCGAGTTAATTGCTATGAAATTCGTCTTTCCGCATGTTAAGTAAGCTGCAAACCTATGAAACAAGAGTGCGACGTGGCTACGAAATAAAACTGCGAACCTATGTTAGTAATTTGCTACGAAACTACGAAACTAGCACCGCACCTGCCGCTGAACACATACGAGTGATCATCGGCAGTCGCTGTCTGCAGTCTAGGATGTAGTAAGGGCTCCAAATGTGCCCTCTTCGCCAAAGATTCAAGAATTTTCCAGGAAAAATAGTAGCCAGAAGAAATGCGAGAAATGGACGAATAAGGGAGAAACGGCTCACGAGGAGTTGGAAAGTGCAGATGTGTAGTGAATACAAGTTGTGGGAGGACGCGGAACAGGTAAGGGCGCGTGTCTTTTGCAAATTAGGGCGCGTGTCTTTTGCAAATTAGGGCGCGTGTCTTTTGGTTTTTGGCCAAAATTTCACGATTTTAAGTCGACTTTTTAGGTTTGAACCTAGGTCGACCTGTACTCGAGTATCTCAACTTTTGGGCTCGAGCTGCGTTTCCAACTTTCACAAACATCACATGGCTCACAAAAGTTCGACAATCGAGGGTCGACTTTCTACACTCACATTCGAGCCGCGCTCAACCCACGTAGGATTTGTGCGACACGCTGCCACGAGGGCTACAAATAGCCCTCTTGGCCAATGTTCAGTTCAACACTTTCTCGCCAACATGACGAACGCCCAGCTTCTCCGCTTTCTCGCGCTCGTGTGGCAGGGATACCTGCGCCTGTTCCTGCTGCCGGTTTCTGTCGCCATAGGGACTGCACTGCCAACCTTGCGGTTCGCGCCTTTCGTGCCACGCGAATGTCCGACGTGGAATGTAGCGACCCTGACATCCTCTGATTGGAGTCGCTTGTGCGCGAGATGTGATTTGCGAGCGTCGCGGATTTCGCATTCTCGAGGTTCATGCTTGTGTGGAAACACGGTTGGCCTTACGTGCTCTTCGAAGTTTGAACGTGAGGTCGACCCAAGTTTGTTTTCCAACTTCACACCCATTGACCAGGGAGGACACACGATGCGTGCGAAGTTGACTGTACGAAATTAACGAATAAGGTTACCAGCGTAAGGTCGACCATATTTTCGAACCTCTACACCAAAAGACACGCGCTTAGGTGGAAGTTCATGTTTTTTTCCCGAGTTTTCACATTCGAGGTTTGGTCGACGTGTGGTCGACCATCTCGAATTTTGATAGTCGAGGAACAACGTCAACAAGTCCGAGTCACACATGGAACAACAAAGTTCGACTATCAAAGCTCAACTTTGAACAGTAAACCACGAGTCGCGCTCAGCTTTCGTAGGTTACCTGGTTGGGCGGTGCACTTCGTAACCGTATCAGGCTTCGGTAACCTGGTAAAATGTTCATCGTTCTTGTCGTGAGTCTCGTGAATCTTCGTGCGTGCGCACGAGAACACACGACTAGGTAAATGTTAACATAAAAATGCGAATGCAGGTCGACTTTAGTTCAGAGTCCAACTTCTTTCACACAGTTTAAAGGGAAAGTCTATCCCAGCTCCTGACTTTCAGTTTTTTCTCATATTTAGCCCTATGTTTACTCAAAAAGCACCACTTTCCATTATTTCTCTCACGCGAGGCCCAAAGTATGTTCAAAACTGGTCCTGCGGGGCGAAGTTTTCGACACGTGTCGTTTTGTTACCAGCTGACGCACTTCCACTCTGAACTAACCGTTTGTCAGGGCAATTTTCGCGCCGGAAAAGTTTTTACGGGACAAAAAAACATAAAACCCCTAAAGGACCATTACACATTTTCGGGAGGGAGCAACCCTAAACACGGGACCTGCTAGGTGTTTAGGGTTGATCCCTCCCGCGAATGTGTCCTGGTTCTCTAGGGGTTTTATTTTTTTTGCCCCCGTCCAAATTTTCCATGCGTGGAAGTTCGTCAGATGGTGTAACAAGAGGACACGTGTCGAAAAAATCGCCCCGCAGGACCACTTTTGAACATACTTTGGGCCTCGCGTGAGAGAAATTCTAGAAAGTGGTGCTTTTTGAGTAAACCTAGGGCTGAATATGAGAGAAATCTGAAAGTCAGGAGCGGGGATATACTAGGACACACGATCTCTTCGCGAAAAATTCCGCGAAGTTTGTGAGACTGGTTACCAGCAAAAGCTCGACCTTTTTCTGGAACATCTACACCAAAAGACGCGCGCCCTAATTAATTCGTTTGAAGGTTGTCACCATGACATTTTGTAAGCATACACTCCAGTGCTGAGCAGGTTCTCACCACAACTGCTCAATTATGCACTTATGCCAAGTAAAACACTTTCCTCGTTTCTGCAGAAGCAGCCACCTACTCTAATGTACACAAAAAACACACAATAGAAGCAATCCTGCGATTTGGTAACCCTCAAAACAGAACAGCCGAGCTTATCGAAAGGAATGTACACATTATTGACACGCATACTATAATGGTACCACAAGCACTATACAATCGTTCTGTTCTGAAGGGAAAACACGCACTCTTTAGCAAGGCCCCTATCAGGGAAAATTGCACATAGACAACACATGTTTACTGTAGGTACGTGGTGAAAGAGAGGTGACCCCTAATGTACAGAAGGCAGGGCGCACCCCCCATCTTCCTAATGCCACTGCAGTAGGCAAACGGACAGCTCTACACCTGCGTCGTATCAGGGGAACAATAACAATAAAAGGGACAAAACAGCAGATGGTGGGAGATAAGGGGTTAGGACTGATGGTTCAGGAGCATGGTCGCATCAAGCAGTGTTAGCATGCAAGACTGTGGTCTGCTACTGGTTGGGCGTCATAACCCAAAACTTTGCTACCACTTTCAACAGCTACAGCTTTTTCTACATCATCTATCCTTCCTCCATCCTCCTAAACCTCCACCCCTCCCTCATCCCCCTCCCCCCCCCCTTTCCTCCATTCCTCTATACCTCCACCCAACCTATTCCCCCCTCTCTATATCTCTCCCTCCCCTCCTCTCACCTTGTTAGTTCTCCGTCGCAGCTTCGTCAGTTGGTCCTTGATCTTCGCTGCATCGCCGTACCGCTCGTGCTGAGCTGCTTCCTCCATCAGCCTCACCAGCGCAAACTCGTCTGCCAGTGATAGGTCCTCGAGATCAGGCCTGCGGGGGACAGAATGAGGATAAGGAGAGTCAGAGACAAAAGCAAAGAGGATGCAGGTCGGTTTCAATGGTTTCTGCTGCGCTGCTTCCTCCATCAGCCTCACCAGCGCGAACTCGTCTGCCAGTGATAGGTCCTCGAGGTCAGGCCTGTGGAAGACGAAACGAGGAGGGCGGAAAGAGACAGAGACAAGCAAAAAGGGTGCAGAGTTGACTTTTGAGGCGCCTCAAAAGGGTGCAGAGTTGGTGCCATTCGTTCAAGCTGTGCTGCTAGTCCTCCAGATCAGGCCTGAGAGGAAAGAGGGGAGAGAGAGAGGAGGGAGAGGATGTGAGGAGGGAGAGGATGTGAGGAGGGAGAGGATGTGAGGAGGGAGAGGACCAGAAGACAGGGAACGAGGATGAAACAAATCATTGTTTCGTTCGACCTCTTCCTTTCAACGAACGTAGTTGGTTCCCTCCTAAGTTGAAGAGAAACGGGGCAAACCTATTCACTTGCCCTCTGACGTCAGCATGCCACCACTCCCTTGTCCTCTGACGTCCACACCACTCCCTGGTGCCTTCTGAGCAGCCGCCCGCCATGCCCGGGTGCCACTGCTGGTCGCTTCATCACCACACAACCCGCATCATCCACACCATCCACACCATCCACACCATCCACACCATCCACCCCATCCACCCCATCCACACCATCCACCCCATCCACACCATCCACCCCATCCACCCCATCCACCCCATCCACCCCATCCACCCCATCCACCCCATCCACCCCATCCACACCATCCACCCCATCCACACCATCCACACCATCCACCCCATCCACACCATCCACCCCATCCACACCATCCACCCCATCCACCCCATCCACCCCATCCACCCCATCCACACCATCCACCCCATCCACACCATCCACCCCATCCACACCATCCACCCCATCCACACCATCCACACCATCCACCCCATCCACACCATCCACCCCATCCACCCCATCCACCCCATCCACCCCATCCACCCCATCCACACCATCCACACGATTCCTACCAAACACGGATTCTGAGCCTGCTACCATCACCGTATGAGCATAGCCTCTGATTATCTTATTGAAGCAGCACCGTATGCCATGACGTCAGCATGCCACCACTCACTTGTCGTCTGACGTCAGCACCACCCTCTGCCGTCTCAGCAACCGGCCACCATGCCCGTGTGCCACTGCCGCCCGCACCATCCCCACTATCCGCACTCCGTCCGCCACTGCCAGGGATTTCCGCACCTGAATGGGCACCTGAAACAACAGAGAATCACCTGAATGAGCACCTGATGCAATGGAGATGCAGGGTGGGAGCACTGCTGAGAAGAGAAAGAAAAAACTGAAAGCCTGAACGAATGCAAGCCTGTGTCCATGCTAAGACCTGCCCCTGCACCCTTTCCCTCCCTTCTTCCCTGTCCCTGCCCCCCTCCCCTCCCCCCTGCGCCCTACCCATGTCGCACAGTCCTGGCCATTTTCCCTGCCCCCCACCCATACTACTGCCCTGATTCTTCACTGGTTCGGGCTCTTGCCATTCTTGTTGCCGTTTTCGCCATTCGTTTCCTCCAAATCTCACCGCAGCAACCCCATCCCCCCGACTCACACCCCGTCGTTACAACCACACAACTTGCTACAATAACCCACCTTGGCGCGTGATGCAAGATTAATGGCATCAGACGGCCGCATGTCCAAACTCATCATAGCAGGCCCGCTACTGCTGTTGCTGGCTGTGTCACTGTCAGCAGACACCTGTTGTGGGTGGGTGAGTGGGTGGGTGTGTTGGTGGGTGGGTGGGAGGGTGGAAACAAGGATGTCAAATCAACTCTGACTGGACCCATGCCCCAACCCCTTAGTACCGGGACCACTGCTTCTGCTGCTGCCACTGCTGGTGCCAGGGTAGGCATCCCCGTCTCAATGGGTGATGCGCACCAAAATGAATCCTAGAGACCCGGGCATGTGATCTGCACCGATGGGTGATGCGCAGTGATTGAAGGAGCCATTAAAAAAGATCCAGACTAACCTTGGATAGGTAGGCCCGGGCGCAGTATGCATCCCCATCTCGATGGGTGATGCGAATCAGACTGATCTGCAGGGGACGGGTGGGCGGGCGGACACAAGAATCTGTAAATTTGTAGCGTCAAATAAACTCTGATACCGGAAATATAGCCGGTAGAGTTGCATTTGTATATCATATGAATGCTTATTGTCAGACAGAGTAACAAGCTATTTCACATCCCATCCTCTTGCCCCATATCCCAATCATTTCGAACATCCCATAGTCATAACCCATCACCTCACCTCATATCCCATCACCTCACCTCATATCCCATCAACTCAATCATATCTCGCATAAGCATGTACACCGTTGGCCGAGCCTGCCACGTCAGCATCGCACAACACAACCACACAAGGTGTACTGATTAAATCTCGATCTCAAATAAAAACAACGATGCACAGTTTCTATTGAGAAAGTTGCTTATAATCACTATAGGAGCTACGCGGCTTGCACAGGAAACGAGGATTCCATACAAGTTAATCCACTCCTCTTACCTTCATGCCAGAACCATCATCAAAAGCTCCTTGTCTCGATAAAAACATTCTCAACTCTCAAGCCGCCAGCATCGAAGGCACCAACTTTCTCTAACCACTCTCATCTTTACACTCGTTACGTCTCCCGTTTACAGTCACTAGAGGCACCGTCAACTCACCAGAGGCACGCCGCGCACCGAGTCAATGAGCATTTGGCTCGAGAGGTGCGCTGTAGATGAGGATGAAGAAACAGGTGAGAGAGGGGGGAGAGAGGGGAGGGGGGCGGGAACGGGAAGGAAAGGTGACCTCAGAGTTGATGCGCGTCTGGATAAAGAGGCGCGCTGCAGATAAAAAAGAGAGAAAGGAAAAGGAGGACTTCGGGTTTCAGCATGGCGGCGGGCTGCGCACATTTGAGTTGGCTCAGAATCTCCAGACAAGACACTTACGAATGAGAATAGGGAGCAATATACGGCTGCCGTCCTCCAGTTTAAGTACGGCCGCCGGCTGCGCGGGGTACTCGGGGAGGCGCACCCCGTCCATGAGGTTGTGCGAGCACTTGAACGATATGCCGTCGGTCATGCCGACTAGAAGCGCGTCGCCGCTGCTGCTGACACTCGCTGCAGAGTGTGGGGGAGCGGGAAGAAACGGGTGGGGGGAAGCGGGTAAGGGGAACGGCAAGGGAGGCGCACCCCGTCCATGAGGTTGTGCGAGCACTTGAACAAAACGCCGTCCATCATGCCGACTAGAAGCGCGTCGCCGCTGCTGCTCACACTCACTGCGCGGCAGGGGCCCGGCAGCAGGGGGGCGAGGGGGAAAGAGGGAGAAGGGACATTCATGAGGTTGTGGGAGCACTTGAACGATATGCCGTCCGTCATCCCCACTAGAAGCGCGTCGCCGCTGCTGCTCACACTCGCTGCACAGTGTGGGGGAAAAGGGGGGGAGGGGGGAAACAAGCGGGGAGGGGGGTCGGGGAAGGAGAGTGGGGAAAAGTGAGTAACGGGGAGGTAGGGAGGCGCACACCGTTCATGAGGTTGTGCTGACACTCGCTGCACAGTTTGGGGGAGGAGGAAGAATCGAGTGCTGGGACGCGGGTAAGGGGAAAGGCAGGGAAGGCGCACGCCGCTCATGTGGTTGTGCGCGCATATGGCGGAGATGCCGTCCGTCATGCCGACCAGCACCGCTTCGCCGCTGCTGCTGACACTCAGAACGAGGGAGGGAGGGGTGGAGGTGAGTAGGGGAGCGGGGGAAAGGGATGGGGAAGGTGGGCAGTCGCACTCTGTAGACTCGCGCTTACAACGATGTCCGTGTTCGTAACGGAGCGTGCTAGTAACGGAGCCCGTGCTCGTAACGGATGTCTGCAAAGAAACGTCGAGTGCCGTAAAAAAGAAAACATATGCGTTGTTTAGCAGACTCACTCGCTTCAAGCACCGTGGCGCGAGAAAACTCCTCGTCCGCGTAGTCAAAAGCCGACTCGACGTGCTCGAACTCCCCGAACTCGCCAAACTGCATCCGCGCTGCGGTTTCCGCGCCGCCAGCGCGCTCTTTCTGTAAATCGTGCCGTATATCTCGCCGCGAATCCCGCGCGTCGAAGCATCGGACGGCGTGGCGGGAGAAGCGGGGAGAGAGAGGCGGAAGAAAGGAGTTGGTCAGTGATAGTTTCTGCGGAGGCGAGTGGAGAGTGACTGGAACTCTAAAGCTCGCGGTTTGAATAGAAGATTGTAGGCTCGCCGCCATGGCCATAGTCGGGTGTTGAAGATCAAGGGTAACGGTGAGGATAGGAGGTGGAGCTGGTTTCCAGAACTTCTAATGTCGCGCGGTGCCGGATTATGAGACTAATGAACAAGATTTTACTGTACGCGGGCGAACCAAGAAACGGAGTAGCTTGGAAAGCCTTCGTTCATTGCATTGTTGTCATGTCAACGGCATGCGGCAAGTGCGGTTGTGGTGTGGTGGGTTGTGGTGTGGTGTGTATTGGTGTGGTGTGGTGTGGTGTGGTGTGGTGGCGGGCAGTGTGCGCGTGGGATGCTTTGGAATTGAGCAGTGCGGGGCAGAGCAGACCACCAAGACACAGCAGGACAGCGGAGCGGAGAGCAGAGCAGAGTCGCCCCGCACATCACCCCCACCCACGAGTGCGAGTTCTGTGTGTGATCCGTCCCGAAGCTCCGCCACGAAGCACGCACGCGGTGCGCGAGGCTACTATTGGCGGGGCACCTCGACGGGCGCCGTCGAAGAGCCTTGCCCGCATATGCGAAAGTCAGAGCGCCCGGCAACTCCCCTTCCCGACTTTCTTCACCTGATGGCCACATGGTTACCAGATTTACGAAAATTGCTGGTGCGGTAGTGCGACGTTTGCACGTTCGCAAAAAGAAGTCTCTCCGCGGACATAACGGCAATCTTTTCCGCCAACTCGACATACTGACCGCGGAAGTTTTCCGCAGCCTGTGTGGTCAGGGGACCGATGCTGCGTCAAGTCCACGTTATCTAGAGTGGATTGACCATGCTCCACGCTGGCAAATGCTGTACTCGCTGTTTTTTTGGCTGCATGCACGTGTGATCTCGCCTGTCCACGACTATCGTCATGTGCGTCGTCAACGAAACATGCGTTGGCACGAAGAATCAGCCAACGGGGAAAGGATGCAGCCCGTAAACACTTGCATATGCGGAAGTGTAGAATAACATCACTATCGGAACATTCGAATGACAACTACCGACACGACGAATAACCCACCGGTTGTTACACTAGTTCACGAACAGACTGGAAACGCCACGGCGGGGGACGACGTTCGCAGCATCAACAACGACCGATGTTACCAAATCCGATTGTCCCTCCAACCGATCTTCGTTAGACATCGTCGGTAACTCACCAATGAAGATACAAAATGGAAATTAGATGGCGTTCACAGCAAGTTCCCCCAAAGCAGATCGGTGAAGTAGATCGTTCAGATCGGTGTACTCCTCTTGAGATTTCCGCAAGCAGCTTTCTGGGGTCTGTGGGGTCCCCCAGATTGCAGTCCAACAAATCCTTGCCTTCCTATGTGTATCTCGATATTGCTTCTGATGTGCTACCATTCAGTTGTTTGTGAGATCATTCCAAGGCTCTTCCTGAGACTCCCTAGGTACCTATGGATTGGATTGGGCCATCTCAGATGATGTCGTGAAGATCCCCCAGGAAGCGGCCCAGTTTGCTCGAAATACGTGATTGGTTGGAAGGATGCCTTGGTTGGTAGTCGGGTCGACTCAGCAATAGTGCTGCTGAGGAGCATGAACGTGACGGAATCAAACGGAGGACATGGGACTGTCAGTCGAGGATCTTACCCGAGCTCATCAAGGCGTGCATCGTCTGACGAATAACTCCCTGACGATGAGTAAGAAGCGGTTTTTGCAGAGTTAAAACGCGAAGAGCCATGGCGTCCGAAGCTCCGCACGAAGCCACTCGCGTAGATTTTTGCCGGCTTCCCCTTTTCGGGTTACAATCCGTAGCTCCGTTTTACCTGTGTAACATTCGAAGGCAACCCATGAGCTTCATGTTTCTGTAATGGGAGCTCGTTGTTTGAGAAAGTAATAAAAGAAGAGGGTTTTCAACGAAGGCTGTTGAAATCTTTTTCGCAGAGCCTGAGCGAGGTGGATGTGCCGCTGACAGGCATCGTTTGATTCAGCGATTTAAACTCGATTTGTGATTCTGGGCACAGGCTGTTCGATTTTCATCAATAGCCGTTTCAGTCTTCAGCAGAGGCTGCTCTATTCACAGCAGAATCTGTTCAATTTTCAGCAAAGGCTGTTACGAATCCCAGCAGAGACCGATCATTCTTCAGCAGCTGTTTCGATTTTCAGCAAAGGTCCGATCATCAGCACATTCGCTTCTAATTTCGCTGCTATTCTGATTTTCAGCACAGGCTGTTCGATTGCAGAAGCGTGAGTTTCTCTCAGCAGCGTCTGTTTCGATTAATCAGCAATGCAGGGCGTGGCGGGTGTGCTCATAGAGCTGACACAGGAGGTGCAGGAATTGGAGGAGTCTATAACGAACAAGGTTCACCAGCTTATTGCGGGGATGACTGCGGTAGAGCACGTACAGGGAGCAGAGGAGCATCTGGAGAGACTGGAGGAGAGTGTGGAGGGAATCAGGGGACTTGTAGAAGGCGTGAGAATGAAAATGTCTGAATTCGGGGGTAGCAGGGAGCTGGTTCTCGTGACTCAGAAAACCGTGCTGTGCCAGCAGCATCAGCAGGAGCATCAGCAGCAGCAGCAAGTGCTGCAGTGGCCTTCGGAGGATCAGCAGCAGGAACAATCACAACATCAGCAGCAGCAACCGCAGCAACAGCCACTGAAGCAGCTGGAATGCCGAAGCTGTCATGTTCAAATTTCAAGAGGGAGGCATGGCTCGTCTTTGATAAGCGCAAAGAGACGGATGAGGGAGATGAATGCGCAGCTGCAGCAGCAAGTCGTCAAGGTTCAGAGAATAGAAAAGGTATCATGTATCGACATATCTTCCACCACCATTGTAAAACCCACAGAGCCTTTTCTTTCCACCGTGTTTCCTCCCTCACTCCGTTTGTTCCTCAAACGGGGATGGTAAAGAAGTGGGCTCTCTTTTTCTCCTTATTTGTATCTCTAGATCCCATGCTATAAGCTTTCTTATCATTTTGTACATATACCTCTATTTTTACTTTCAGTAGTACCACATCCATTCCCACGCCGCTGTGCTGTTTCACAGCTTATTCAGTGTGCCTTGTTAAACTGAGTGTTGAACTGAATGCATCCTTGTTTAAACTCTCTACATTTCCTTTCTCGCCTCCCTTCAATACCCCTCTTCCTTTTCATCCTTTCTTGCCCGCTGTTATACGTTATACGGTGCAGTACCGTCTTTCAAGACCTCCCCTCTCTCTCCTCCCACACTCTTTCTTCATTCTATGTTTCATCTGCCCTATTCACCTCCCCAACCAATCCCCTCCAGGGCTTGCAGTCTCTAGCCACCTTCCACAGCACGCAGCTTCTCAAGGGCGTCACCACTCTGGACCTCTCTGCACTCCCTTCCCCCTCCTACCATACGCTCCTCTTCCACCTCCTCTCGCTCTCCCTCCACCACTCTGCATCCCTCTCCACCGTTTTCACAGTCAAAGCGTTCCCAGCGATGACGACCCCCTGCCTGCAGCAAACCATCGTCCTGAATCTCCCATTTCTGAGAAAGCTTGATCTCAGCAACTGTACTCGCCTGGTCGATTCTGATTTGCCTCAGATTGCTCGACTCACTCAGCTCACTTACCTCTGCTTGGCTGGATGCAGTGGCTTCAGGTTCAGTGCAGCAGCACCGCTTTCTGTTGCGAGCAGTACTCCAAACTTGGCAGACTTGTCAAATTTGGCAAGCTTGACAAATTTGGCAAAATTGACAAATATGACAAATCTGGCAAACCTGACGAATCTGACAAACCTGAGGAGGCTGAATCTCAGCAGGACGGCAGTGGGCGATGAGGGCATGGCTGTGTGGTGTCAGCTCACAGGAATCACGGCTCTAGACCTGCGCCACTGCACGCGCATCACATGCCGGTCCATGCACCACATTCGCCAGCTGCAACACCTACACACGCTCAACCTTGCCTGGGTGGCCGACTCTGCAGCCGATTCTGCACCTGGTGAGAGGTAAGTCAAGGATTCTAAGACTTCACCCAAACATAAAGATTCTCTGATTTTGCCCTGGAAATCAAATTATCTTTTTTGCTCTGCACCCGGTGGCAGGTGGATCAGGGCGCTGGGGCCCATGGAGGAGCTCGCCTGGCTGAGCCTCTTCGGGTGGCTGCTGAGAGACGAGGGTGCTATCGGTGTTGCGAGGTTCTTCCCGAAATTGAGAGCATTGCGCTGCTCTGCTGTTGCTGGTGCTGGGCTGTGCAGTGGTGCTGGTGGTGGGTTGACCAGGGGTGGTGTGAAGAAGATGGTAAAGAAATTGCCGTGCTTGAGGGAGCTCTGGCTGCTTGGAGGTTCGGAGGAGGTGAGGAAGGCGGTGAGGAAGGACCGGCCTTGGCTTACAGTGCTCTGCTGATGTGGACCTTCACTGACTCTGCTTCTTTCAACATTTGACCCTTATGCTCCCAACCCAACTGCAATCCAGCCGTGATTTTATCACACAAGTGATGCCTCACATTTGCCTCCATGTCAGGAGGCCAGACATGGAACCATCCTACCGTACCAGTTCTGGTCTGCAACAAGAAAAAAGGCGACACAAATTGTAGGACAACAGATCTGCATACTCAGGAAGAAGCGTCAAGCTGCTAACTTCGTAAGCTATTTTTACACTTCAGAATGCAGCTGGCTGCTTTGGTAACAAATCTGCAAATCACAACAATCTCACTGTTGTTCTTTTTACCATGTAACACATTGATCTATAGCCCTATTCACTGTAGTCCATACACAGCAATACATTTACTCTACTTCATAACACGACAGTTCATTTACTGTACCCCTATTTCAGAATCGGCCTGTACTGGCTGTAGCACGGTGCCTCGCTTCCCGTGGGCAGGGCGGAAATGACCTCCTGCACAGCTGCCAGGGCGTTGCTCAGAATCTCCTTCTCAATTCGCACCAGCCGTGCTGCCACCCGCCTCTTGGGGCTCGTTGCCGGGTCGGCGATCTGTTGGCGAAGGGAACAAGGCGGGAACAGGGAACAGAGGGCAGGGGAAAACAGGAGACAGGCGGCATGGGGGAAAATCCAGGGGGCAGGGGAAAGAGGGAAAGCGGGGATGAGAAGGGGAGCAGAAACGACCTCATGCACGCCAGTGCATCTGGGCAGAGAGGCTCGGGGCGCAAGTGGGCCTGTGCTGCTTGGGTTGGGCAGAGAGGCACGGTTAGGAGTTGGCACGGGACCATCACTGACCGTGGCTATGCTCCTTTCCAGTAGTTTGGTTGGCTGCAAGTGTCTTCTTTCGAGGAAGAACCACTGCAACAACTACCGTACTTCAAATATTGTCACATGTTACTTATAACGGATCATCTCTTACCGCAGCAATGTCCTCCTCGAGCGTGGTGGGGTAGGCTGCGAGTCGGGCTTCAAAGAACTCCACCAGCTGATCCAACACCGCGTTCTCGTTGCACGGACTCACCTGTGCATGTGAACCATGGGATTAAGGGGGGCATGGGAAGATTGGGGAACGGGGATGAGGTAATGAATGGGCAGGCGACACCTCTCCTTTCCCCAGCTGATTCAGCTCTGTGTTTTTGTTGCATGTACTTACCTGCGTGGGAAAAGAATAACGAAATGGGGAGTACAAAATTGGGTAAGTTTTTTGGGAATTCTAAAAAAACATACGAAAAAGAAGATAGGCAAGGCAACTCAATGGATCCCTACATCCACCGCAGCGATTCAGCACTACGATCTTGTTGCATGGCAAGGGGGTAGGTGACATGTGCAAGCCGCAGGTAGGCCACACACCCCAATCTTGCACCCGACACCGCCACACACTCACCCCCCACACAGGCTCACTCACACTCACCCCTCACAAACCCCACTTACCCCGCACACATGCTCACTCACACTCACCCCTCACAAACCCCACTCACCCCGCACACAGGCCCATCAGCGAAGGTGACAAACTCCATGTCGAGGGGGTCCGTGCCATGCGCCAGGCACAGGTAGGGGAAACATCCCACTTCCACACCCCACACGGAGGCACACACGCACCCCACACTCACACCTCACTTTCACACTCACCCCGCACACGGGCCCATCAGCGAAAGTGACGAATTCCATGTCAAGGGGGTCTGTGACATGCGCCAGGCGCAGGTAGGGCATCATGTCATACAGCGCTGCCGACTCCTTGCCCTTGTACAGCTGGTGTGTTAAGGGGTGGGTTGAATGCAGTTGAGAAGGGTGTGGAGGTGAGGGGAGAATGTGTCATGTCACCATGCCAGACGCAGGTAACAGCTGATCATGTCACACAGGGCTGCTTGCTCCTTGCCCTTGTACAGCTGATGGGTTGGCAGGGTGTGGGAGGGTTAGGAAAGAGCAGGTGAGGAAAGAACACGTCATCACGTCAGGCACAGCGCAGGTATGGCAGCATGTTGTATAAGGCTGCTTGCTCCTTGCCCTTTATAGCTGGTGCGGTGGAAGGGAGAGGGGGAGTGTTGGGTGAACATAATGCATCATCATTCACAGCACCTGGAAGCCTATCTGGAAGATTGCCTCAAAATCCACTTGAAGAATTACCAGAAAACGCAGCTAAATATCACTTGGAAAAAACACCTGCAGAAGCACCTGACGTTTCCCTACATACCAATCCTGAAAATGCACCTGAGGAATCATCTGGAGCTGGGGAGGGGACCCACCTGGAAGTCCTGGGTGCGCAGGAGGTCGTGCTTCTGCACAATGGCCCGCTTGGCCTGGTACAGCGGGTCGTCAGGGTTCAATGCCACCTGGGGCAGGGGATGAGGGAGAGAAGGGGACGAGTAGTGGAGATGAGACGAGGAGCAGCAGGGGATAGACCCCTTAACCCCTGAACCCGCTGCCTGTCCTTCCGGCTGCACAGCCTTCACCTGCACTGTGAGGCGGTCGTATGGGTTGTCTTCGTGCACAATGCCGTAATTGAGCAGCTGAGCAAGAGGCGTACCCTCCCCATTGTGCCCACCTCACCTGCCCACCCCTTCTAAATCGCCCCACATCTCTCTCACCTGCACTGTGAGGCGACTTTTGAGGCGCCTCAAAAGCCACCTCACCTGCCCACCCCTTCTAAATCGCCCCACATCTCTCTCACCTGCACTGTGAGGCGGTCATAGGGGTTGTCCTCGTGCACAATGCGGTAGTTGAGCAGCAGCACAAGAGGAATTCCCTCTCCTCCTGCTTGCTTGCATCACCAGCCCACCCATCACCTCACCATGCCCAGCCCAGTACGCACCTGCACCGTCAGGCGGTCATAGGGATTGTCCTCGTTCACAATGCCATGATTGATTTAACCAGATAGCACCTGCATACCGCTCACTTGCACTGCACCACGCACAGCACAGCACAGCACAGCACTCACCTGCACGGTAAGGCGGTCATAGGGGTTGTCCTCATCCACAATACCGTAATTCAGCAGCAGGCGCGTGTTGGGCTGAGGACCACACCTGAGCAGGTGGGTGAGACCGTGAGGGGGGTAGTGGGAGGAGGGGAAAAATCAGGAAAGTACGAGGGATGCAGTGCAGTGCAGTGCAGTGCAGTGCAGTGCAGTGCCTTCACAGGGCGGTCCAGGCGAATCTCAACCCCTCCATCAGGGGAGGCAGCGAGCATGGAGCGCGTGGTGCGGTGCTGCGGTAGGCACACGGCTATCAAGGAGATAACAGCCTTAGAGTCCCCCTCCTGTCTGCATTCTACAACACTCACCACACGCTGAGGGGCTCCCTTGCCTTGACAGGGCGGTCCAGGCGGAGCTCAACGCCCCCATCGGGGGAAGCAGCGAGCATGGAGCGAGTAGTGCTCTTGTAGGCGAGGAGAGGCGGATCCTCCTTCTTCACACAAGCTCACTCACTCACCATTCACCGCTCTGTATCGCACTCACCAAACGCTGAGGGGCTCCCCCGCCTTGACAGGGCGGTCCAGACGCAGCTCCACCCGTCTGTTTGGGGAAGCAGCGAGCATGGAGCACGTGGTGTGGTGCTGTAATAGGCACACGTCTTCTAAATGCGGTACACGTCTGGGGGCTGACTCCTCTGCCTGCCAGAAACCCACAGCACTCACCAGACGCTGAGGGGCTCCCCTGCCTTGACAGGGCGGTCCAGGCGGAGCTCCACGCCTCCATCAGGGGAAGCAGCGAGCATGGAGCGCGTGGTGCTTTTGTAGGCGAGGAGAGGCGGACCCATGGGGATGAGGGCGAAGCGACGGGGGAGAGGCACGCCCTGCAGGGGAAAGTGGGGTATCGCGGTAACAGATGAGGAGTGTAGTTGGTAACGAGGGCGAAGCGACAGGTGATATGAGGGGGTGACGAGGAGAGCACATGAGAATGAGATCTCACTTTCAGGTGCACCATGCATGCTTGCATTGACTCTCTCCTGCAGGTGCCCTTGGTATCTTATTCAAGCATGAGAGGAGAATTTAATCTCACCTGCAGGTGCCCTCGGTACCTTAATCAAGCACAAGAGCACATCATATCTCACCTGCAGGTGTACCACGCATGACTGCACGGCAATGAAAGCCTGCTTGAAGATCTCAAAGGGGAAGGTCTCTGAAGGCGTGTCGTAGGGGTATTGCTGTGAGGGGAAAGGTGGGAGGGAAGTGAAGGGAGAAGGGGGTGGGCAATGAGCGATTTATAAGGACTGAGTGCACAGTGACTCCTTCTTGAGGACCATAACCGTAAGATCACACACATAAAATCGTATCACGCACAATTTATAGCATCACAGATCTCATGGCATCACAGGCCACATGGCATCGCACACACCAGGTGGGATAACACCACACATGTGGCATTCATTCATTACCATGAAGAGCGAGGCTGCAAGGAGTTGACTTTTGAGTCGACCCAAAAGTCAACACGCATCACGCACATTTCATAGCATCACAGGTCACATGGCATCGCACACACCAGGTGGCATCACACCACACATGTGGCATTCATTTATTACCTTGAAGAGCGAGGCTGCGAGGAACCACACTGTGTCCAGCTCCTCGTACTCCCTCTTGATGCCCTGCAGCCTCGCCTCCACCTCCGCCTGTGTTAGTCAGAAAGCGGTTACGGGTTGAACACATGTGGGGAATTCTGATGAGGACGGGATTACGAAAGAGCAAGAGCAAAGGGAGAGCCACACTGTGTCGTGTCCAGCTCCCAAACCCCAAGGCACAGCGCCAGACACCCCAGCAGCGAATGCTGCTATCCCCCTTGACTGTCATCATGTATATCTTCCCCCTTCACCTCACCTTCATGGGGCTGCCCTGAAAAGGCTCTGCCACCTCCTGCGGCCCACCGCAGTGGCGTCTCAAATGACGTCTTCCCTCGCCCCCTCTGCCTGTGAAAATTTCCCCAACGCCTCACAAACAAGGCGTTTTGCTCCCTTAAACTTCATAGCCTATCCCTCACCTTCATGGGGCTGCCCTGAAACAGCTCTGCCACCTCCTGTGGGTCCCACAGCAGAGGCGTCTCAACTCAACGG